ATGATTCAGCTTTAAAGCTACTCTTTGTTGCTCTGATTGGCTTCACAAGGAAGTAGAAATCATTTTCAGGGCTTTGGACACTTCCTGATTCATTAGTGAGAGATTTGTTTGCTCCCTTTTTGGAGCTGTTGCATTTTTGTCTCGGTTAAGAAAGTTTAGACAGTGTTGAGAAAGATGTGCCTTATTGCAAATCATTGGCCACAAAACTTGTTAAGCCTGCCTGGTTCAACAGGTGAACCAGATCTCCACAACCTGTTAATAATAAGCTAATGTAGGAGACAGGAGAATCACACATAGGCTTTATTTTACATTCTTAACACATTTATAAAATGACTTAGTTAAATAAAATGATTTTGGTGTCAGTTGTCTGATAGTGAGTTGGAGTTTGTAGATTTGTTGCTGTTCTTGGGATCATTGTCCTGTTACATTACACAGCAACACACAGCCAAGCTTTATCTGTCAGACAGGTTTGGCATTTCACTCTACGACATTTGACAATTTTCCCAGTACCCTTAATAATGGGTTTTGACACCTCTAGTATATATCAATAAAAACATGGTTTGATGCTCATTAGAATAGGTTCCTATTTTTTCCAAGGGTAGCTGCACTGACAAAGACAACTCTCATTCCACAGGTCGGATTCGAACCAAGCCGTACAGTATATGGTCGCCTGCTCATCCCAGTGAGCTAAACTGGCTCTTGTTCATGGTTGACTTAACACAGTTGGTATGGGGTGTTTGTGCTGACATGGTTGTGTCTGTCTAAAGGACACTGTCCTAGAACTCTTGTGATTTGCTCACATACAACTTTGCAAACTTAAATCCTGCAGCCATGTTCTTTTGTGGGAGAATAAACTTCTTTCTTTGTCAATATTTTTTCCAAATTGATGTTCTAATAAGAAAACCTTTCTCCGGTTATTGTAGCCATTGGAATGTTTAATCACAAGATATCCAGGAGTCGCATAACATTTGAATATTAAAAAAAAAAAAACCCCGTTGTAAATCAGTCTCTGCCGGCTACAATTAACCAACCCATAATTTCTTTTTACAGATAAACCGAAGAATTTAGGCAACATCTATGTTTTTCTTTGAGTCTCCTTGTGCCACTTCTATGTTAAGTCATTGCTTTAACTGGTTGCATTGCTGTGGGTTTAAAGAACTGGGTCTGTACTGACATCTGCCTCATTCATCTTAAGACAGGGTCATGCGATAACATTCGTATTCATGGTCATTTGTAATTTTGCAAATTCAAGCTGTAAAATACCAGCCTGTATGAGGTTCAAAGTTTAAAGGTTTAAGGCTTTGCATCAGTTTTTTACGAGGGAAGAACTGAAAAGTTGTGTGTCATCTAAAGGTGCAGACTGTCATTTACTCTAAACACACAACAGCGTCCTAGCAAATGAAATCTGACACTCACGGAAAAACAAACCAGTGAAAAGCCGTCTGTGTTGTCAGCATTTTGTATCTCTGACGTTTCTCTAAGTATTTCTCGAGTGGAGATTTGGAGGACGTTAGTGTAGTCTTTTCAATGAATTGTTTGTTTGACACACCTGATATTTCAATGACTGAACAATACTGAGATGAAAAACCTTCTGATCTTATGTGTTGCAGTAATTGGCATTTTATTAGCCCTTCCTGTTTTGAAGGATTACACTATAATGTACAATTAGCTTTTTGTTATGGCCACTTATTGCCAGCTTTGAATCACATGATTGGCCCTGAAGTTCATACATCCTGTTGTAATATTTGCATCCTTCTCGGAAAGCCTGAGGGACTATGTGCAATGTTGACACACTGTCCTTTCAGCTCTATTCAAATGACTCAGTGGAGACGACTTTTAAATGTTGTAACTTTTAAGCTTCCTTATGCTATTAGTTTTCATAAAGTGAGGAGTGCAGCTTTTTCTTATGATCAAATATGAAGTACACGTGAATTACAAAGCCATAAATCATTTAGTCATTGTATTTAATACCATATGAGGGTGGCTTGTCCTATCGGGTTATTCCTGCTCGACAGGATAATGCAGATTTGACTTTGGTGGATGGATTTTTTTTTTTTCAGCTGAAAGTCTCTCAAAGAAGTTTCTTGAGTTTCATTGTTTGCAATTAAACTAGTACACTTTGCTTTGTAGAGGCAGGACAGTCTCATTGTTTCAATTCAAATTCTATTAAAAAAACTATGTCGACAAATAATTATCCTGAGAGCTGCTGCTGTCAGTGCTGTGCCTCACTCAGTAATTTTTTTTTACTGCCTATGGTATGATTAAACATATATTTTCTAACATAAAATATGCATTTTATTTTATATTCAGAGCCGCTTGATTTGTGAGTCCACTGGATTCATTGTTTGTTCCTGCTAACCGTCCCTCTCTCTGTTCCAGGAAACAACAATGACATATTTCTTCCTAGTAATTCAATTCCTGTCATAGTGATTATACAGCAACACATCTATGAACAATCAGCCCATAAAATATGAATGCAAGTCTCTGAAAGTTTTCCTTATTCACTTAGAAGTAATTCATTAACTTTAAACAGAGGATGCCTGTTTTTAAAGTTAAACAAATCTAACTATAAGAAATATTTCAGGAACTGGCTAAATAAAACTCCAGTATAACCAGGTTGAAAGACGGCAATGGTCAAAATATCTTTATCCAAAAAGGCCTGTTTTAATAACTGCGCCTTGTCCATTGTTGCACAGTTATACATTAAATCAGCAGTTCAAGTTGGAAGTTGTTGATTAATGGCGAATGTTTGCCTTTTCCAGGACAACCAGCGCAGTTTGACCCTAATTTCAAAGGACCTGTAAAGAATAGGTAAGTCTGACTCAAAGCTCACTGGATAGGTGGTGAAATTCATACATTTTAACCCCCCTGTCCTCTGTCCAGCTGTGTGGTTCCTGGTGTAGTGTGTGTGTGTGTGTGTGTGTGTGTGTGTGTGTGTGTGTGT